CTGGTCTGTATGTGGGATTTGAACCCTTGGCGGGAGCGCCACCGCGCTCCCAAGTGGCACACTGTAGCAGTGTGCCACCGGGCTGGCCCAACTTTCTTTTTTTACTTAATACTATATTATGACATATACATCGACTTCATTTTTACCTACAGAAATGAGCGCTGTCGTATTTTACCATTTTACATAAAACTTCAAGGAACACTCCCATCTTTATGTAGCTTTGTACATTTCTGTTAATGTTTCAGTTGATGTGTAGGAATAAGTTTTTTTGGGGGGAAAGGGTATCTATTTAAAAAATTCTAAATAAATACTGCTAAATTGTTCTCTCAAGGGATTGTATTAATTTATATCCCCACTAAACAGTATTAATGTGACTCTTCACTATAAGCTTCATTTCACCAATATCAGATATTATGATGTTGTAAATATAGTCTATATTAAAATATGCCCCCATCTGCTAGACCAAAATGAAATCTCACTGGTGTTTTGAATTTAGATAATTCAGTAAGGCTGGGTATCTTTGCAAGTATTTTTGGGGCATTTGTAATCTCTTCATATCCTTTATCCATTTTAATTGGGCTACTGGTCTTTTAAGATTTTATTTACACATTATGATGTTTTACTTCTTATCTTTATGTAATTTGATTCCCCTTTTATATAATACGTTTGTTGCTAACATTTTCTCTTAGTGTCTGGTGCCTTTTTCCCTTTAAGTTTTTTATATAGTGCCTATTTCAGTACAGAAGTTATTCATTTTATGTAATCAACTATGTTAATCTTTTCCTGTAAGGATACTAGGTGTCATGTTATACTTGGGTAAACCTCCTTCCTCCTCAAAATGATTAAAAAACCAAAATTTTAGTATTTTCCCAGAACTTGTATAGTTTCATTTTTTAAAGATTCATTATTTTTCAGAATGAACACTAAGTTGTCCCAACACCTATCTATCGTAGCTCTTCCACATGTTGTCTATCAAAACATCTGCTTACTTCCTCATTTGCATTTATTAGNTGTGGGGTCTCTGAGAAGCTGGCCCAGCTGCAGCAGAGGCAGGGTGTGCCTACTTCTCTGATTCCCAGAGCAGAACGCAGGGGCGATCAGCTACACCCAGGCTTGGTTTAGATAATCCCTGTAAACCTCAGGAGGCCAGGTAGGGGTCTCTATGTGTGGGGGGACTGTAGGCCACAGACAGAGCTCTCAGAGCAAAGCAGCTTGGTAGGAACCTGAATTCTTCTGGAACAAAAAGATTCTGGCAGCCAAAGATGCCTTGGATACAATACAAGCCTGTGTGACTCTCCCTTTGTTAATCAATTTTTTTATTTTGGAATAATTTTAGACTTACAGAAAAGTTGCAAAGTAATACAGAGAATTCCCATAGACCCTTCACCATTTCTCCCACTGTCAACATCTTACACTTCCATGGTACATCTGTCACAACTAAGAAACCAACACTGGTATATTACTATGAACTAAACTCCACACTTCATTTGGATTTCACCAGTTTTTCCACTGAAACCTTTTTTCTGTTCCAGGATCCATTCCATTTATCACTATGTTTTTATAAAAATATCTTTTTAAACTATAAAAATAAGACATGCTCAAGGCAGAAAAAGGCAAACAATATACAGATGTACTGAATTTTTAAGAAGTCTCTCTTTCTCACACAACCAACCTGATCTCCAGAGCTTTTCACTTAATATTAGGTTCGGTGTATATCCTTTCAGACGTTTTTTTCAAAGTGAGCTTATACATTTTCTTCCCCCCAAATGGGACCACATTTTACACAGTTTTATGTGACTTTCTTT